GCATCTCTTCTTATAAATTTTCCATACATTAAGCAGAGCTCTTCTTATAAAGTGATTATTAAAGTCCTTATTAGCTTTTTATCTTATTGAACCAAAGATAAACAAATTAAAAAAACTAGTATTTTCTAAAGATACCAACTCTTTCAACCACATCAGACATGAAACTCTAAAATATAATTTCAGATTTGGGAGGGCAAAACAACCCCTTTAATTAGCATCCTGTAGTATTTTCATTTTTATTCTTGATTTGCTTCCCAACCATATATATTTGAAATCTCAGTTTGCCAGTTGCAAGATACTTTTTCATTATGGATTATTGGGATCATCTGAAGTAAAAAAAAGAAGCTTAGGCAGTAAGTTGCCCTTTTGTTTTTGCAAGGAATTCATTCCGGACCCCCCCCCCCCATGAAAATTGAAGACTGCAAATATTCAAGCCCCGTAGGCTTGAATGGGAGCATGTGTCCCATTTTATACCCCTCCATTTCCCAACTATGAACGGGCGAGGCTCACAGGTTTCAAGTCCACAAAAACAGAGGGACAACTGTATACTCATTTTTATTGTAGCTATTTTCCCTAGAAGAGATAATTTTAAACCTTTCCACTTCATCAGATATTTTTTAATTTCACCCCAAAATTTCTCTCTAATTGTTCTTAAACAAATCTGAATTGTTTTCAGATATTGTTATTTCCAAATATTTAACTTTTGTACTAATCAAAAACCCTGAATTTTCTTTCTCTTCCAATTTGGTCATATTTTAATAATCATTGTTGTTTTATCTTTGTTAATTTTTAATCCTGATACCTTCTCAAAGTCTGCTAACTATTTAATTAATTTTCCTATACTCTTCTTTGGTTCTTCAAGAGACACAGACAAATCATCAGCAAAAGCCTTAATTTTGAACTACTCCTTCTTTATTTTATACCTTTAGTTTCATTGTCAGTTCTTAAATTACCAATAAGAATTTCAAGAATGCATAGAAATAAAAGGGGAGATAACGGGCAACCTTGTCTGGTGCCTCTCTTGTATACTAATTAAATTTATTTTTCTCCATTTATTATAATTTTTGCTTATTGTATATTATGAATAGCCTTATTCCAAGAGATGAATTTTACCTACATTGATTTTCCCCAATATTTCACTCATAACATTCCAATTGACACAGTCAAAAGCATTTTTGATACCCCCCCCCAAAAAAAATCAAGGCTATATTTTTATCAGGAAATCTTTCCACATATTCTATTAAATCAAGGATTACTCTTAAATTATCTTTTAAAAATCTGTTTGGAAAGAATTTGCATTGTTCATTCCCAATCCAATCTTGTAATACCTCTTTAAATCTTGTGGCCAAAATGGAAGAAAAAAAAATAATCTATATTTAATAACAAAACTAGTCTATAATTTTTAGGATCTAACTTGTCTCTACCTTCTTTTGGAATTAAACAAATATTAACTTCTTTCCATGACTGTGGTATAGATGTTTCTACAATCTTATTTATCATTTTTTGAAGTGGTGAGCAAAGTTGATTTATAAACATTTTATAATAAAATGATTTAAATCCATCTGGACTGGGAGATTAGTTTGTTGTGAGTTTTTTTTATTGCTTCCTCTACTTCCAGTTTTGTAATAGGATTATTTAATTTTTCCCTTTGCTCGTCTAAGATTTCCTTAAATATTTGTTTAGTCATAAACTTCTTGATTTCTTCTATATTAAGTTCTCTTTGTATATTTTACTAAAATATCTATGAAAAATGTTTTTATTTTCCTTGTGGTTGGTTATTATTTTTTCTCTAATTTTTGTAATCAATGATTTCACAGTTATTTTTTCCCTACACTTGTATGACAACCATCTACCAAGTTTGTCTGCCTGTCCAAAATGAATTTCTTTTGCCAATAGTAATTTCTTCTTTATTTCTGCCACCATATCTAAATCTAACTGTTTTCTAAGCAACATTATTATTTCATTTTGTAATTCTTTATTTCAATAATTCCCTTTTTCTGACTCTTTTTCTTTTTTCAATTTCATTATTTATCTTCTCAAATTCTGTATTATGCTTTCCTTTTAATTCAATATTTTGTTTTATTTAAAAAAAAAGACCCACATTTCAGACTTGCTGGCTTCCCAAATTATTTCCATATTTGTTTTCCCTGTCATATTTTCCCTAAATATAATTCCAGTTCTCTTTTAACTTCTTGAACCATTTGTTCATCTTGCAAAACTCTATCATTTAATCACCATTGGAATTCTTGCTTGCTACTTTTTATTTTTAACACAATTGGATTATGATCCAACAAATTTCTTGGTTGGGAATCCATACTTATTATATTCATGTCTAGTTTAATAGAAAGTAAATTCTTTGACTATTATATATTTGAATCTCCATATATCACACAGAGAGAAAAGATCTACTAATTCAAAACAATTTTTTGGTAGTTTCTCATTTTTCTTAATTGTCTTCTCTGATTTTCTATCAATTTCTAAGTCTACTATCCCATTCCCTTCCCCTAACATTAATACTTTGTCATAATCCTATTTCATCAGTTCCATTTTCAATTTTCTATAACATTTGTCTTTGTTTTCCAATGGAGCATAAACTCCAACTAGAAACATTTCTTTTGTTTCTGAAACCCTATTTCTACTCCTATATAATGCCCATTTTCATCATTGAAAATTTCCTTTGCCTGAATTGTTGCTTTATATATAATACCTCTCCTTCTTTTCTTTTCTGTGTTGCTGACACAAATTCTTTTCCAAATTTTTTATTTCTCAAAAATATTTCTCCTTTTTTATTTGTATTTCCTGTAAACATATTATTTCATATTTACATTTTTTAAAATAGTGAAAAAATGTACTTCATTTTTGTATTGAATTTAACCCTTTTGTGTTCCAAGATATGACTTTCATTACTACTTAATATTTGATTTCAAAACCCCAATTCTCTTCTTTTTTAAAATTTTTCCTCCCCTTTTCTTCCATTCCTTTCTCTACTGCCCTTTCCTATTTATGTCTTTTTAACAGGTTTTCAAACTTCTGTTTATTCTTCTTCTTCTTACAGCTCTTCTTTCTTTTTCTTCTTCCTCCTCCTCTTCTTCTCTTTTTTCTTTGGAGTTTTCTTCCCTTCCTTCTTTTTCACTTTCTGGACTTTTATTTTCTCTTTATCTCCTCTTAAATCTCCACCCCCCCCCACATCTCTTCTGTACTTGCCCCAAAAGTTTCTGGCTTTGTCTGTTGAGTCAATCTTGAACTATCTTTCATTAAGACAAATCTATAGGAAATTGCATTTTTCTTCAATTGAGTATTCACAAATTTTTAGTCTCTCCTCTTCTTCAAAATTATATATCCCTATAGATTTTTACCAGGCTGTCTCCAATTCTTAGTTTTTTTTCAAAATCTCTTTGAAGAATCATATCCTGAAGTTTTCTTCTCCCAAATTGGATTACAATATCCCTTGGGATCTTCTTTTCAATTGCCCAATTCAAATTAATGTGAAAGATTCTGTCAACTTCTCATTCAATTAGATCCTTACCTAGTCCTTTGCTTTCCACAAGAAAAGAAATTATCCACTCATAAAGGTCTTCATTTTGTTCTTCCTTTAATCCTCTTAATTTTAGGGAATTCTCTCTCATTCACAAATCCATAAGATCTCTCTCTTCTTGGACCTTAGCTTTTTCATGTGTTACTTTATCTGTTTTTTCTTCTAGATAATTTACTTTGTTGATTGACTTTTATGTCTATTTTCTTCAAATCATTAGCTATTTGCTCCATTGTTTTATTCATATCTTTCAGTTCAGACTTCATGTATATTCTTAGATCTTTCATTTCTTTTTGCCAAATGGATGTCATTCTTTTTAGTTCTTCCATGATGTAAGATTGATCAGGTTCCCTATTTGTTGATTCCAAAGAAGGTCTTCTTTGCAACTTGGTTTGTAGTCTTGTGTTCATAAGCATAATAATTTTTGCTAAAACAGTTTTCTAGGCTTTTGTGATTTTCCTTAGAATATTCAGTTCTTTTACTTCTTTTCCCATTGTTTTATTTTATCTTAGTTGACTCTTGAGCCTTGGTAAGTTCCTGATAATTTCTTACTGTATTTTATGGCATATAAGATGACCTTTTGACCCTGGAAAAGGGTCTCAGAAGTCAGGGGTCATCTTATATGC